CAGGGACTGAAACAGGAGGATTACAAGTTCAAAGCCAGCCTCAGCAACTGAGACCCTGTATCAGAATAAAAAAAGGACTGGGGATGTAGTTTAGTGCTAAAGCACCCGTAACCTCAATCCACAGTACTGCAAAAAAAAAAAAAAAAAAAGTAAGAAAAATTCAGTATAGCATTTATTAAGAGCCCTGGTTTGGGTAACATATTGGGGAAGAAGGGGAGAAAACCTGAGTTCCCACTGTGAAGATAGAGCACAGAAGCCAGAAGTAATTCCATCCTACTTAGACCCCATCTCTGTGGCTCAGTCCACTGAGATCCTCAGTCCTTAGCAGAGTGATGAGGGTCTGTTGGACATCTTCTGCTAACTCAGTGTTGAGGGATAGTGGAAAGATAGGGGCATCCCATCAAGACGGGAAATATGCAAATAGGGCCCAGCAGTTCCCAGCCATACACCAAAGGGTCTTCTGGACCTCACTCATAGAGCATGCAGAACTGTTTTGTGAAGGGACCAACAACTAAAGCTGTTTCCAATAAAAATTTCCTGTGTCCGCCTTAACACTTGTGTGTTGTTCACTTAGAGAAAAGCCAGGTATAAAAGTTTCATTGTACTTCCATTGGATTTTTAGTGTCTAATGACATCTATCCCCAGTGGGCAGTGATTTTTTTAAAAATCATCCTCCTAGTTTGCATATCAGCACCACATTTACTCAAGGAAAAGTCATATTCTCAGAGCTTTCCAGAATCTCCAGAAGCCTAGGAGAGATGGTAAGGTGACTGAAGTCTTATGTCTGTGCTTTTCTTTAATATTTTAAACTTCGTTTATTGCTACATTTTTTTTTTAAAGGAAGAACTTGTCTTTCTGGAAGGAACTTGAATTTCTTTGAGTTTTCATTTCCTCTCCTTCATTTGAGAAAAAAAAATGGAGAAAGCTCTTTTTTTTTCTTTTTTTTAAGGAGAGATGGTTGCTTGTTTGCCTGATTCCTTAGCCTCTTTTTATGTTGGAAATGATATCGGTACTCCACATTTTAGGATCAGTATTCAGAATAAATGACCTAATATATATATTCAGCGCTCCGAATGGGCCTTGCATATATTAGGTGCTCAATAAAAGTTAAATTTAAAAATTGATGGAGTTGTCCAGACATCTGGGAAGACTACACATTGGTTGAAGAATTTGTCCTTGGGATGAATGAAATTTCACCTTATGCAGGCAATAGGGCCTTTGGGCCAAGGAAGTCAGGGGATGTGTATGCTCAGTTTACTTTGGCTAGGAGGCAGGAAAACAGGAACTGAAAAATTAGGTTGAATGTCACATAGAAGGCCTTGAAAACCACAAAGAAGTGTTTAGACGTGATTTTCTAAGATATTCATGAAGGAGAGATCAAAACTTTAGCTCAGGAATTTTGATGAGCCAGGGTTGGTGGGTAGATTCTTTGTATAGAGGAAAGACTAAAGTTTTTAGTTAAGGTTTTTAGTTAGGGAGACTGGAGTCAAAGTCATGACCTGAACCAGAGAGTGAACCTTGAAAGGCCTTCTCTGCCTGACCTATCTGTCGTCGTGGGTTCACTTCATATTAAAAGTCACACGTGGATGTTTTTAAAATCACTATCTGTGCTTGATTGTTAATACTTTCCCTTGACCTCTGTGAATTAGAAAGACTAGGACTAAAGTCTCTATATATTCCATTTTCTAAAAAAATCTGTGAGAATGTTTTAGAGTTTTCTAATTCTGATTTCTACCAAAGCAGTGAGTTAAATTCTCATTTTTATGCAGCCTAAGTTTTCAAGGAGTGGATGTTTTTAATGTAAAATAGTTATGCTTGGCTGTTTCCCTTTGTTTCTTTCTCTCTTTTTTTTGGTACTGGAGAGTGAACCTAGGAACATTTTAAACACTGATCCACATGCCAGTCCCTTTTATTTTTAATTTTAATTTTCTGTAAATTGCTTAGAGTCTCGGTTAGTTGTGGAGGCTGGCTTTGAATTTGCGATCCTCCTGCCTCAGTCTTCCCAGTTGCTGTGATTACCACTACCACATCTGACCCCTTTGATTCTAAAAAAAGAACATTCTCATTTACTTTAGGATGAGGAAAAGGAAGGGTAAAATTACCAGAGCTCTGTGGTTCTTAAAAGTACTGCTTTTGAAGTGTTTGTTTTTAATTAAATTATCTGCTTTAAAAAAAGAAAGCAAACCTCTTTTCACATCATTTCTTTTTTACCAAGTGATTCTTAGAGTGACTATTTAAACTAGATCAAGTTTTGGTTATGTGAGCGAATTTTATTTTCTTAGTGGTAGAAAATAAGAGAGACAAGACAAGATGGTAGGCTTGTGTTACTACACCACATGAAACCTTAAATAAATACTATATATGAAAATACTATGCAATTTGTAAAGTATTCAAAAAATAGATGGAAATCTTTTTAGAAAAACATCTAACATCATTCATGCCTCTCAGTATGAGACCATTTTAATTTAAAAAGTCAGGAAAATGCTCTAAATGGGGATGAAATCTGCTGGTGAATTGCTGTCTGTAATTAAGGCTCTTCTATCTGTGCTGACCCGATGTTATGTCTGAAGATAGTCAAAAAAATGTGGACAGTGGGCTGGGGATGTGGCTCAAGTGGTAGCGCGCTCGCCTGGCATGCGTGTGGCCTGGGTTCGATCCTCAGCACCACATACAGACAAAGATGCTGTGTCCGCCAAATACTGAAAAATAAATATTAAAAAAAAAATGTGGACAGTGAGAATTTGTGCTTATGGTATTCATCACTTAAGTAAAATATTAAAAGAGTGAGCACATTTACTTTTTAACAATATGTTGTTCAACTGCGCATGGTGGTGCACGCCTGTACTCCCAGCAACTCAAGAGCCTAAAGCAAGAGGATCATGAGTTCAAAGTCAGCCTCAGTAACAGAAAGGCGCTAAGCAACTCAGTGAGACCCTGTCTCCAAATAAAATACAAAATAGGGCTGGAGATGTGACTCAGTAGTCAAGTGCCCCTGAGTTCAATCCCTGATACCCTCCTCTCCCGCCATAAAAAAAGAAAGAAAATAATCTCTAAGGAGCTAGAAGAGGCGAATTATTTTAAATATATATTTTTAAAAATAACAAGCAGCCTTTTTTTCTTTCCATATCTGTCTTTGGGGGAAGGGGGAGGATATGGAGATATCATTATTTAAAATAAAATATTGAGCTGGGCACCGTGGTGCATGCCTATAATCTCAGCAGCTCAGGAGGCTGAAACAGGAGGATGCGAGTTCAAAGCCAGCCTCAGCAGTGGTGAGGCACTTAGGAACTCAGTGAGACCCTGTCTCTAAATAAAATACAAAATAGGGCTGGGGATGGGCTCAGTGTTCGAGTGCCCCTGAGTTCAATTCCTGGCACCAAAAATAAATAAATAAATATAATAAATATTGAGTTTTTATATGTTTCCCCAGCAATATTGTTTTCTAGAAATTATTTATAATTTTATTTAAAACCTCCCGTGGAGACAAGGTATGGATGTAAATACGTGAAAAATAAAGTTAAGGCTGTGGTTGTAGCTCAGTGGTAGAGTACTTGCCTAGCACATGTGAGGCATTGAAATCAATTCTCAGCACCAATAAAAATTAAAAAATAAAGTGTTGTATTCTTCTCAACTTAAAAAAAAAATAGGTTCAGATAATTCACATGGAACCTACTCTATAGATTCTTTTATTCAGTGCGAACATTAAAGTCTTTACACATTAACGTCACTCCATCGGCCGCTCCCAATTTGGCCCTAAATTTTGTGTTTAATGGTGGTACTTTCCTCTCTACACTGAAAAGACTCATGCAGGTAAATTTTGCCATGCCTTTCCACTCTGTGCCATAATTGTTTTTAGCTGGGGTATTCACTAGCTTGGAAAATCAGGGCCTTGTTTTTCTCTTTCGTGTGCCCAATAAGGGCATTCCTACTTGCTTTAATGAATTTGAGTGTTCTTAATTACCTTTCTTGAAAGGCCCAAAGAACTCATGAAATAATAGGTGAAAGATGCTTTGAAACAGTAAAGTCACTAGACAAAAGTAAGATGTGTATACCTCTCCTAATATATTGGCCATCTCCCTCCCATCTGGCTCAGAGGAGAGATGCTTAATGAAGATTTGAATCTGGGGTCAATTAAACCATGTTGCGACCTCTATAAAAGAGTGAATAGCTTCACATAACTAAGTACTCTAATGGCCTGTGGAAGGCGGGAAGGGGAGTTGAAAGGAAAATTCTTTGTACAAACCGAGAAACTAATTAATGTGCCCAGGACCTCCTCTGTGAGTCCCTTTTAATGGGATTGTAAATAGGTGTTTGGGTGAGCTGTAACACAGTGTGTTGGTTGCTCTGGGCCTTCCTGTTTATCAATACTATCTACAAGATGGTAAACCACAGGGAGGGAGTCGCTTTATTAGGCCTTTCAGCCTGCCAAGACTGGGATTTATGGACTTCATGCCCTTCATGTGACGGGGCAGCCTGGGCCTCTCTCTTTTACTGGGTTAAAACCTGTGGGCCTAAAGACTCCTCACCAGGATACCTGGGGCTGTGAACACCCAGCCCCTGGGTGTCACAAGTCTGCAACCTTGCTCAGATCACTTGTACTCTAGGATGTCCCAGGTACTAGGTGGATTTGGATGGAAGTAAAAAAAGTAAAGCGGGATAAAGCCAGGCAGGCTTGAAATTGTTATAGGGTCCTCTTCAATTCTGTCATTCCGCCTTGTTTTTATCATCATCTGTAACTGGAGCACTTCAGAAGCAGAGCAGAGTAACCTACTTTTAGGAGCCCGTTTTTGTGTTTTCTTTAAAGGGAAGATAGAGTAATTACATACGTCTGGAAAACTCTGAAAAGATGCATAAAGATGTAAACCATTTGAAGAGAGTGGGCTTTTTTGTTTGCCAGCCCATCTCTATTTTCTATTAACGTCAGGTTTTGCTTGTATAATAAAATCAGTTTAAGTCAAAAGGTGGATGAGGCTGACAGCTTTGTCTTTCTTTTGTTTTAGAAATCGAAGCCAAGGAAGCCTGTGATTGGCTGCGGGCAACTGGTTTCCCCCAGTATGCACAGCTTTATGAAGGTAAGCCAGGAAGGCCGTTTTGCTTTAAATTGACATGATTATAATCTTTGGTTTATGATTGTTCTTGATCTATGACTTATTTTCAGGCATTTGTTACTCAGTATATGTTTCATTTCATTAAAAAAAATAATAATAATGTAGAGCCAGGCATGGAGGTGCACACCTGTAATCCCAGCAGCTTGGGAGGCTGAGGCAGGAGGATCTCGGGTTCAAAGCCAGCCTCAGCAACAGCGAGGTGATAAACAACTCAGTGAGACCCTGTCTCTAAATAAAATACAAAATAGGGCTGGGTACCTGGCTCAGTAGTAGACTGCTCCTGAGTTCAATCCCAGTACTAAAATAATAATAATAATAATAAAATAAAATAATGTAGTAAATACCTAAGACTCCCACCACTCAACACAAAGGCGAAGACCATGATAATAACACATTCACCTGCCCCCTTTTCTGTCCCTGATCTGAAACCTCTGTTCACCATTTTCTTGCGTTCCTTTTGTTATTTTACTCCTCTTTCCTCAGAAGTATATTTTTATAGTTATTTTTACCTTTATAAAAGGGATAGTCATGCTGTATCTAATCTTGTGGGATTTCATATTTTCATTTAAAATATTGTATTAAGATTTTTCTAGGGCAGGGGATGTGGCTCAAGCGGTAGCACGCTCACCTGGCATGCGTGCAGCCCGGGTTCAATCCTCAGCACCACATACAAACAAAGATGTTGTGTCCGCTGAAAACTAAAAAATAAATATTAAAATTCTCTCTCTCTCTCTCTC